TGAATGATCGTCTTCAATGATACAAAAGCTCGTGTTTAGTTTGTATTTCTTTCTCTGAACAAAATTATCTATGGTTGTGTGTTAGTATCTGCTGTTTGCTGTGAACAAATTATCTATGGTTGTGTTTAATTTGAGTGTCTGCTGCCTCAACTCCATTACATTCCTTTGTTTTCATTAAGATATAGTAATTCTCTGCATCGGTGATTCCTAAAGTAACTCATATGCAAGTGATTGCAACGATCGATCCCCAAATCAAGGGGAGTCCTTAATGGAAACTCGAAATGCATACAAAAGTTTTGTGTTTTTTTCCTATGTTGGGTTTTCTAATTTCACGAGATTTTAGCTAGTTGTTCATGAAGTTTGGGTTTATAATTTTAGCCATTAATTAGCTAAACAAATGGTCATACTCATATGTAACATAGACTTTACACAAAATCTAATGAAAGCTTCTTCTCCGATCATTTTATGACCCTTTCCCATTCTACCTTCGACTGAACCGTGTCTCCGGTCATACTCAACACTCAAATAACATAAACTTTACAACCAGACTGTTTCTCGTGCCGTCCCAAATCATCTTCATAGTACAGTCTGGATCTTGTCTTGTATCCATCTTCCCACTCTACTCCTTCGATAAGCGACCACGCAAAGCAACCTTTAACATTAACCTTGTCATGGGTGCCAAAAAAAGAGGATTGGTTTCGTCATCAAATCTACCAACTACTGAAGCAAGAAGTAACCGAGTTTTCGTCCAAACTTGAAAAACTGAACTCACCAGCCTGCTCCGTGTAATGCCATGAGATGTCTCGTATGATAATACTTTCTGTTACTGTCCCTAAGCCCGTCGTCGGGAAGCACATCTTTCTCTTCAAGTGGTCGTACTTCTCTTTCATGTATTTCATAACTTTTCTTCACCCGTCTGGGCAAACTGGATACTTTGCAAAACACACTATTAGCAGTCTTAGATAAATATCTCAAAACGAGCAAACACAAAGGGAAAACACACGTTTGCCTCCCATTGAGAATCGATTGAGCTCAAAGATGAGATAGATATCCAAATCGCACAGGAGAACCGATTAAACTGCTCGACGAAGCTTGATAAACGCGAATAGATGAACGTATTGACGAGAAACAGAAAT